ATTGTTGAAAAAACAATAAGCACAGTTCCAAAAATTTCAGGATCTCTTAAGATTGGTACAAGGTAGTATATGAAAAAATTTGAGCAAAAAATTTATTGTCGACCGTCATTTTTGACGATTTTCAAAAATTCAAAATTTGACAAATTTGGCATTTTTCAAAATTTTTTGCCAAAATATTTTTTTTTCTATACCTCCAAGGGTCCCCTTTCAAACAAACGAAAGATCATTCCTGTATCTATCTTAGCGTTCGAGATATTACAAAAACAAAATTTAAAAACTGGAAAAAACGCGAAATTTTGAGTTTGCATATCCTTTGAAAAAAATTTTTTTATTTTTTTTCCTTTGGCAGAACTTCGTTATATGATAAAAGAAAACTTCTGACCAAAATTCGTTCAAATCGAAAGGGGTCGATTCCAACTATTGGCCGATTTGACATGGAATGACCCAGAGAAAATTCCGGACTTAACAATTTCAATGAGGATTAACAATAAAATGAAAAATAATAATTTTATTCTTTATTAAATCTAAAATTATCTTTTGACTTGATTTTTATTTTTTGTTAATTTCATTTAGCTCATTATTCTTATAGTTCGAAAAAAATTAAATCGTTTAAATTGATAGACCGAAAATTACATTTAATATTTAATAATGCCATTGTTCTTGAAAAGAAAATTAAAACTAGATGTTATTCAAACATAAACCTTATTTTAAATTTAAAAGGAAAAAAAATCACTGTAAAAACAATGTGTAAGAACAAAATTTAAATACACGATTAGAGTAAAACTGCAAAAAATAACAACATTATTGTAAAAGTATTTTAGAAAAGATGAAATTAATTATAAAATATTTTAATTGTATAAAATTATAGAAAGCGTCTGTATATTTTATTTTGTTAAAACTTTATAACTTTCTTAGTTAATAATTTCAATGATCAGTTTGTTTATCATACGCAATGGAGAAACTTTAACGTGTAAAATAAATATGTACGTGTATTTATGTAAATATTGAATATTCAAAAATGCATGAATTGGAAATAGAACTTATAATAATAAGTTTTTGTATATAATTTTAGTTTAACCTAGGTTAGTTATTAATTAAGAACATGTGTATTTAAATTCAAGTTCAATGTACACTATATTTATTGAAAAATATCAACATCATGTTTTAGGTATATATTGTGTGATAAATTTATTGTGAAAGGTAAAATAATTATATTTCTTTAATGATATAGTTTGATTATAACAATTTGGTCTTTAAAATAAGAATAAATTCAAAATATATTTCAATAAATTTAATTTTTTTACCCATATATATAATTATCTTGATCATACTCTAATACTAAAATTATCTATAATGTTATTTATTATAATTTACGTTTAATCAAATACAGTTTTATTATTAATTCAACTAGAATATAAAAAAAAATCTTGGCTTTATTATCAAATGAAAAATAACTATTAAATAAATTTTTTTATTTTTAATTATGATAATTTTAATTATGATCTGCTGGACTGCCAACGGATCAATGAAAGTTTTTAAATAAATAAATTCATATATTTTAAAAAAATTTTCATGAATAAATTGCGATTAAGATATTTAGCTAGGTGAATCACACCAAAATCAACGGTAATCAACGGTATAAGTCACCTTTGGATCATTAAAAAAATCCTTAGAAATAATTTCTACTTCATCAAAAGAATCTTCAGCATGCACATCAATATATATTGCGACAAATTATTGTGCTTGAATAAGTATACAAGATCCACGTGAATATCTTCTTTCTTTATGACGACGTGCACATTTCATATAATCATGTGATAATGTATCGTTTAGAATTTCTACCTAAAAGCACTTACAAATTAATATTAATTAATTAGTTAAAAAAAAAAAATAACAAGACTAACGATGTAAAACTATATATTTACATTAAATATATAAAATATTTACATTAAGTATAAAAATATTTACATTAAATTATTTATCATTTATTATTATTTAGATAATTTCAATTCCAAGGCAATGGCCGGATGGTAAATAATACAGTAAATGATCAACAGAAGAAAATTTCTTTAAATATTTACCTCATAGTATTCATAAAAGTATCCTATACTATCTTTAAACTATTACGACATTTATTGCAATTATATTTAATCATTTCTGATAAAAATTCTAAAAAAATGATAAGTTATTTAAATAAGGGTTTTTTAAGGGTGTAGTCTAGTTCGTCGGCTATTTTTGGAAATTCCTAGAATGTATTTTTGTTTCGTCACTCACTGTAAGTTAATTTGTTCCAATAACCTCAGATTAACAAATTGTACTACGCCAGAGTTAACTTTTGATTTTTCACAATTTCTTCGCTAAAATTATCGCCGTTGGAAAATTTGCGGTATCTAGACCAAAAAAATCAAAAAATTATTCAAGTAAATACAATTAATTTACAAATTAGTAACTTACATTGAATTAAACTTCATTATTTCTTTTTCCGTTAAAGAAGGCTGAGTAGATTCCAGAGATTTAAGAAGACAATCATGAGTTATTACACGCTGTTTTTTTATCAAACTTTTCTGGCTCTTATCCTGTAAATAAAAAAAGTTATTAAAGCAAGAAATTATCGATTATTTTTCGCAATATATTTTTTTGAATACTTAAGGGGTTACATGGGTTTCGCGGTTTTAAAAAATCGATTTTTTTTTCTTGCTTTCCTGGCCGAAAGTACGCTCTTCCTGGACGCACTTTACTCCAGGAAGAGCAACTTTTATGGCCTGCTCTCTACGCATGCGCGCTACGCATATATTTTGGCCGGCAGCACAGAACCTCGCTTTCTTTCGTACTTTCGTGGTGCAACCGGCCTATACAGCCTTGTTTCACTTGTTTCAATTAAGACAAGATAATTATTACGGTATTTTATCTGACATTATTATATAACTTATTAGATAAGGAATAAGACCCTCGACAATCATCCAGACGTATATATATATATATATATATATATATATATATATATATATATATTCTGGGATAAAGCGGTTGCTTGGCATGCACTAATGAAGTGTTGCTAACGTATCCCCCGGTTATATTACATACATACTTATCTTAACACTAAGTAACTCTATAAGATAATTTTTGCTCTCTCTTCGGAAACAAATTTAATTTTTTTGAATATCGATTAACTTTTCCATTAAAAAAATTTCCATTTTCTCTCACAAAACAATTTGCATATAGAAAATTTATGCAGTACTTACTATAGTCATTTCTGCATAACTTTCATCAATAGCGTTCATTCTCGCTTGGACAAAAACAGCATTCAAATCGGCCCCAGTGAAATTTTCGGTCATTTTTGCCAGTGCTTTCAAATCAAAATCTTCAGCAGTCAAATTGTGTTGCTTGCACAAAACTTTCAAAATTTCTTCTCGGTCGCTCTAAAAAAAACCAAGCAATTAATTAAGAGTTTAAAATTTGGAAAATAAAAAAGTTTAATTACTTCTTGCGGTAATGGACACAATAGCGCTTTGTCTAATCGACCAGGACGTAATAAAGCAGGATCTAGCAAATCCGGTCGTGAAGATGCCGCGACAATTGCAACCCCTTCTCTTCCTTCCACGCCATCGAATTCTGTCAATAATTGATTCACAACACGATCTGTTACACCAGTCGAGTCGTGTCCTCGTCTGAAATAATTATTGTTTCAATTTCCATTATAATATATTCTTCTTATTTCTATCATACGTTGTCTAAGGATAATATTAAATTTATCATGATACAACCAGAAATTATTGCATGTCTATTAGACTGGGCCAAAAAAATCATATATTTTTTTTATTTTTAAAGTATATCGACAGTATGATTTGGGATAACAAAAAAAAATAATATTGTGAGAATTTAAGCCCTTAATATTATCATTAAGAGGTCTATCATCGCAACTTTGATTTTTTTCCAGAACGGGATTTTGTCTCATAACTCCTAAACCATCGAGGTAAATGAAATTGACAGAGACATTTTTTAAGGAAATTGAATTGTTTACAAAAGACTAATTGAAATTTTTTTCAGATTATCCGTTTTCTCATAACCACGCCTTGAAAATTGGTATAATTTCACACTTTGATTTTTTAACTTTGGAATTTTGTAATTCACTTAAAAATCAGTATCCGGAAAAAATCTAATAGAGGTTCTTGAAGGGAATTTAATCCCCTAAATAAAACGTCTTTTAACATTTTTAGCTAAATACACTCCTTTGAAAAGTATCCAAAGTTAAAGTTGAAGTCAAAATGAAATTCTTGTTTTTTTTTTTTTTTTTTTTGCGGTAAATTTGATTTTGTTGGACCCGTTGAAAAATTTGATCTTTTTATAGATAATAATTTTTATTTTATCAATTAAATTACGAAAAATTTGAAAAAATTATAATATAAATTAAATTTATTAATGTCGAAAAAATATTTTTTTCCAAAAATTGCATTATTACTGTTCTTTAATCGTTTAAAAAATATGAGTGTGAATTCAGCCGACATCCGACAATTGAAAACTTTAACAGTCGACATCTTCTTGAAAATATTCATTAGCAAAATTTTTCAAAGTGATAATGGCGTGTAATTACATTGTGTTTAAGAGCATTTTTTTCAAAATTCATCAAATTCATTATTTAAGCTGCAATTTTAAAATTAAATTGTTGCTTAATATAGGGCCATCCCTATAACTTCCTATTTTTTTAAGCTAGCGCTGTATACTTCTAAGTGATTAACTGACTATATTTATCTATCTTACCTGGGTGCTAAGCTATCGAATTCGTCGAAGAAAAGTACACATGGCTTAGCTCGTTGCGCTCTAAAACAAAATTCAGATGTTAGAAGGTAGAAATGAGAATAGTGTTTTGCTATCTTCTGAGAAGAGATTTGATCCAATTATGTATAATTATATTCAAATAGGAAGCTATTTCTTCTTGGTATCTAATCGTAATCATATATCATTATATGTAATTATATATAACAACATATATTAGGAAATAACTATGATTATATTAGAAATTGAAACATCATACAAAATTAAGCATAATTATATCTTTTAATATACATAATCAGATCCATTTCTAAGTGAAGCAATAAACAAATTTGATCAATTACTTTTGAAAAATTTCTCTCACAGCTTCTTCACTGGCTCCAATATATTTAGATAACAATTCGGGACCCTAAAAAAGCAATCAAAATCTAAATAAATGTATTAATCAATAAATGCACAATAAAAAAAAGGTCTACTACCTTGATATTTATGAAGTTCAGCCCGCATTCTTTTGCAATAGCACCAGCAATCATAGTTTTACCAGTCCCGGGCATTCCATACAACAATACCCCACTTTGTAGTCTTATTGGGGCATTTTTGTACAACTCTGTATAAATTAACGGCCATTGGAGCAGTTCTACCAAACAATCTTTGATGTCTTTTAAGCCACCAATGTCTGACCAACCGTGACCACTGCCGCTAAATAATGGTAACGCATGCGAAGCAATTGAATTAAACCTTTCGAATGTGCTCATCAAATCATCATTTGTCAAAATTATTTTTCCAGGACTATTAATTTCACTGTTGACGTTACGTTTCCAAGCGTTGTAACAAGCTTTTTCTATAAAATCCACAAAATCTTGCATAACAAAACTCTCTGTTTTGTCAGCAAAATAATCCCACCGGATATCAGAACTCAAAGAAAATTCTTTGGCATTGGCTCCAGCTTCCATTATTTCACACCGTTCATTTTTCGTTGGACAATCCAATTTAAACAGACGCGTAAACAAATTCAATCCGCGTTTTGTTTTCAATTTAGTTCCCAGCCGCTCGATATTCAAACAAGTCGCCATCAAAGTTATGCAATTCGTTGCTTGATAAATCGAAACAATTTTCATCAACGTATCAGCAATTCTTGTTGCGTTTATCGAATCCGCCGAATTTTCTTCATTACCCGACACTTTATTGTTCGTGATACAATCGAGATTGTCTAAAAATAATATCGACGGTTGATGATACGAACAATCATTTATTGCTTGTTTCAAAACTTTACTAATAGCCTCAACTTTCTTGCTTTTCAGTTTCTTGCAATCTATCGTTTTCGTATAAAAGTAATACGGCGACTGTGATAATTGTTCCAGCATTGTTTCACAAATTGACGTTTTTCCAGTTCCTGTTCCACCAGCGATCAAAATATTCTGCCTATTGTATTGAAATCGTTTTGTCGAGTAAGATTTCAAAAGTATCCAGCAAATTGTTCTGCATTCTTCCATTATTGTTTCCATTGTTCTGAAATTTATCAATTTTTTTCGTTCGACCTTTGTTTTCTTCTTTTCAGGTTCTTCTACAACATCTTTAATAACAATATTAAAATCTTTAACCGTATTCTTCCCTAGCAGAATATATGGAACCATTAATTTTACAAGAAAAGTAATACCACACGCCAAAATTTTGCTCTGATTGTTTATCAAAATTTCTTCATATTGTTTAATGTAGTTCTCAAAAGCTTCTATTGTTATGTCATTTTTGTTTATTGGAACCAAGTCAATGTCACATGGCTTGCTCTGCTCAATATCGCATTTAGTCAGAACAATCTTGCTACCCAACTGTAATTTGAATTGTTCCGCAACATATTCGGTAAGAAAGACACTGTCATTATCTATCGCCTCAAAATTCGTTTGTACATAATCGCTGATCACCATTTTGACTATTTTGTTCGTGACATCGCTTGGATGAGTGTTTTCTTTGTCACTAATTGATGGAACTTTCTTCAGAAGACAAAAAAAGTACTTTTCTTGACCAATTGAGAACCATTTTATCGATTGCGACAGACTGATGAAAACAACAAGGTTGCTATGAATTTGATCGCTGAAAGTTTCAGCGCTTTCGACTATACAAGCACGGAACAGTGGCGGCAATTTTTTAACCTCGTAATTTGATAGAAAAGTTTCTACTTCATTGGCCCCAACTTCAGTCGATAAGTTATTAGTTTGGGAATAATTACGGTTCGAACTTCTTGATGTAGGTTTAGTTTCATAATTTGAGACATGTACCTCTGTAAATTGTTGCAATTTGCCGTAATGATAATGCGGCGTTATTTTATCAACAATTAACGTAACATGCAAGTTTTTGGACAGCCAAATAACAAATGATTGGTTAATCGCTACTATGCTTATCTGCTGGAGGATCAACTCTTGGATTTTACCGGCACGTAATGAAACTATTTCATAGTCGTCTTTGTTTTTCGGCAAAACGATTATTGACGTTAAAACCGGCACTGAATCGCTTATTAAATTAACTAGTAGATTATTGTTCTCACCAATGTTCAGCGATTGAGCAAAACTTGCATTTATGCATAAAAATTGATCATTAAAATTAGTCTGAGAATGAGCGTGAGAAAAATAATAACTTTTCTTTTCACCATTGTCAATTGTTATTTCTATTGCATTGACCTTTGTCAGCTTCTTTGACCAAGAGTTCGGGAGATAAATGAAACAATTTTTCACTGGGAAATATTTACTTTTTAGCTGTTCTACTGCCATGTCGTTCTTCGTTAAATTAAACTGTCAGAAAAATGTATTCCTGAAATAATTTCAATTCATATCAATAAACATGATAATTTAACACATCATGTCTAAATTAATAGTAATGACCAGAATAGTGATATATAACATAACAAGCAGAGACTTTATAATAATTAAAAAATTAACTTGATCGAAGAAATACAAATCTGGATTGAAAAAAATCATTTTGAATATTTTTAAATCAATCAAAAAATTTTTTGAATAAAGTTACATTCACTTAATTTAATGGAAATTTCTTGATTTAAAAGTTTTTTGCAAAAGGATGTTGTGAGTTTTTTAATAATAAATTATTAAATTCAAAATTAGTTTATAAAATATGTTATGGATATAAAATTAAGTTACAAGAATGATTTGAACTATAAATGTTTACAAAAATTCTATTAAAACAATAAAATTAACGTTCAAAATTCACATGTGAGAACTCTACAATAGAATTTAACATACCTTAAACTGCTCCGTCGACACACGTGATTATTTAGTTAAGTAATATTTTTAAATTAGCCTAATTAAATAGTTTAAATTTTATTTTTAATATGAATTTTACTTTAAGTTATACTACTAAGTTACCCTACTATTTGGGGAATGAGAGAACACGTGCTGAGTGTTTGTTGTTGACAACCATAATTGTCTCTGTCCTGCGCCTGTCATAAAATGAAGGCATAAAGCCATCTATAATAAAATTTACCAGCAACTAAAAGTGAGACGATAAACAGTTACTTGCCGTCGGAGTGAAGAAATAGGCGCCATCGTGTGAAAAACATACACAATAATTTTAACATATATATTGGCACATTTAGAAAAAATTTAAACGGAGTCATCTGAGTGATCCGAATGGAAATGTAGCCAATGTAATTATTGTAAAGGAATTCAAAAAGTAACTTGCTCTCTAACAAGTTATATACATTTAATACTTCATACATAACACTTAATATATGTCAAATAATAGTAAATTCTATATAATAAAATACACACATTAAAACATTTAAATATCATATTTATGAAAAAAATTAAACTGTAACCCATGAAACATTACAAAAGAACGACAATTGATCTGTCTTCTAAGTCTTCTAAGTCATAAGAAATTAGTTGTCGGTAAGGTAAATTTTTTTAGGTAACTGGCGGTGAAGGAAATTTAAATTATATAATCTAAATTCAAACAACCTTTATATTCTGAATAAGAATAATTCTTCTTGAAAATATTTATTGTTTTTATTTATTAAAATATATAAATATTGATTACTAAAATAAAAAAAAAATCGCTTATTTAATGGGAAATTATTTATTTTTCTTCATAAAGTAATTTTTTTTTTTTTAATTCTATAAAATATTAAAAAAAAACTGTTCTTTAACTTGTTTCAGCTTAAACTATTATTTATTTATACACCTTCTCAACATTTATCAATAATTACGTTCTTGTCATATGAATACTATAAAACAAACAATTATTTTTTATATATACGTAATTAGAATAATATAAGAAGAAAAAATTATTAATTTAAATATAATTCGTTTAAACTTAGATTAAAGTTAAAAAAATATAGGAATATCAGATATAATTAGAAAGTTAAAAAATATTAGAAAATTAAAAAAAAAAAAAGATGTTTTTGTTCCTTTAATATCGATAAATTTTGAGAAAGTGTATAAATAAATAATAATTTAAGTTGAAACAAATAAAAAACAGTTTGATTTTAATATTTTATAGAATTAA